TCCATGGATTCTCTTATTGAGATACTGCGGACACATGTATATATATATAAACATTGCGTCTTTATATTCTGTCACAACATCTTTTTCTACTTCGAACTTCTGTTATAGTGGTGCATAGTATTTTGATAATCAATACAAACTGTACTTTTGGTCCTGAAAAGCTTACAAATTGTGTCGTTAATGGAAGGTGTTATGATTGAAATTGTCAAAGTCAAAGTATCTGCTGGACAGTTCCTCGATAAAGCTACAAAAATTATTCAGGAAGCCATTGATGAGAAAGCACCGTCGAAAACGACACATGTTAGTGCACCGACAAATGTAAAAATTCTTTGTGAACGATCAACACAGCAGTGGAAGCAAATATTAATACAAACTACAAATCAAGCTATTGCCAATCAAGTCGTAGCACCGCTTTTATCATTTGGTGCCAATCAATTAATCAGTCTTGCTGGTAATGCAATCAAAAAGAAATATCGTTCAATGAAAGAAGAAAAGTATCAAAAACAATTCGATTCACTCAAGAAAGATTTCGATGATAAAACGAAAGATGAACAAATGAATGCCGATGAATATGAAAAAGAGTTTCAAGCTTATCATGACACAATAATGAAATTATTGGCTAAAACTAGAAGTCCAAAATTGTTCGCTAATATTCTACGTGAAAATGTACCCATGGATATGGTGTGTGTTCAGGCATGTACATATGTTTTACACAAGTATATGAGTGAAATGAACATTACTGGCGATGGCAAAAAATTCACTGGTATTCGTATTATTGTTGAAGGTCAAGATGGTTCGTCGCACGATTATTCAAGCTCATCGAATCCATCGCATTCAATAAACATTTCACTCGACAATAATCATTTTGTTATGGATGAACAAAGCGATGGAAATATCGAAACATCGAAAAATAATTGCCTATACAAAGCACTCGTCAATACATTTCCTGCATTGAAACGTGCATTTGCCAATGGTGCAGCTTTTCGGCAACATTTATCAAGTTACATTGAAAATGATAAATCTATGCATCATACTATTTCTCAAGGTTGGCATAAGTTCTCAATCAAGAAAGGCAGTTATGGTGGCGCAATCGAGCAAAAAAAGTTTGACCGGCAAAGTCTTTATGATGCATTTCTAGAAAATACCGGAAACCGTATAGCAAAACTCATCGAAAAGTATCCAAAATTTGCAGGTAAAGTTCGTCAAAGATTCGATCAACGTATCAAAGAAATAAAGGAAATTGCACAGAAAGAAAGTCAAAGCGATGAGACCTTTAAAAGAATTAATAAGATAACCAACGATTTCAGCATGTATTTAATCAAAGAGTTTGATGGTGAAGATCGTCGCGAACTAAGAGAAGAGTTACACAAAATAATGTCAGGTTTTGGTATCCGTCTTAATCAAACATTGCATCCCGTATACATAGAAATTTTGAATAATATGAAACTAAAAACCGAACAAGCTGATACATGGTCAAGTCATCCTCTTGCTATTCATCCAGCTGATCAGATCAATTTTACTCAAGATGATATCCGATTACAATCTTTAACCGTTAAATGGATGAAGTTACCCGAAAGTGTAGATATTATCGCAAGTGTAATTCACGCAGAACTTAACAAGGAGGTGTGCGAAGACGAACGACGATTCAATACCGTTGGTGTAGGTATTGACAAAAAAACTCTATACATTGCAATGAACCAGACTGAAGTAACAAAAAGTCAACAAAAATATGGCATCAGTAGTGAAAGATTCACGCAAATATGTAATATACTAATTTCGAAAAAACTTGTTATGGAATGTGAAGAAATTGTTCTTATAGCACCAAATGTAATGCCAAAAAATCAAGCACAAAATCGAGCACTACATGCTGAAAAGCAAATTATGAAGTTTTGGAAAGATAATGGAATATTACCAGGCAATCAAATAACAGATCAGAACAAACCAAGTCGAATAGGAGCATCGAAGCCAGCATGTATATGCTGTAGTCTTACAATGACCACTAACAAGATTCACTATAAAACCTATGCAAAGGCAAATACAAATCCAGTGAATTGGACTGACCCTACAGGGATTAATGTCAGAGTACAGAACAGAGTCAGAGTACGAAATTGACAAATATGAGTCTCGACTTAGTGGCTGTCAAAGTCGAAATTTTTAAACCTTTTTTTGACTTTAGATGAAAAAGCTTGAATATTATTTCCTATGTAAAATACGTGCATCTATTAGCTAAGAATCAAAAAGGAACTATTAGTGTAAATATATTATATTCTTTTAATTTTCTTCGACGAACTGCCGCAAAATTAATATTGTGTATACCATTTGAACATTAAGAAAATACTTTGCTTGTTTTATTCGCATATAATAAAGTCGGAATCAGAAGATGGAATCGGTCTGGACTTTCGACGACCGGTACCGGCACTGGTCTGAATAGGTCATACCAGACCGAATCGGCTGGTCTACCAGTACAGATCGACCCATTACCAGCAGATTCGGAAGTTCGCTGAATCATTTTTTTCTTAAAATTTTTATTGCTTTATGACCAGAATTAGTCTTGGCTAAAACTACTTGTAATCATGAAACAATAACTCACTGAAGAGAGAACGATCCAGCGTCCAAATTTCAGGTCGTCCGATCTACCGGTACAGATCGGTCTGAAATCCGTACCGATACCGGACCGAACTGGCAAATAACTGTTACCGGTTCCATCTCTGCCACAAGCCATTGATGTGGAGGATTCTTTCGAGACTTCTAGAAGCGCCATCTGACGATGGAATTATATTTGAAAAACTTGGTTCTTGTGACATAGAAGTAGAAGATAATCCAGTTGATCCTTTAGATGAAACAGATGAGTACATAGCAGTAGTAATACAATTATTCATGGATCGTCTTTCAACAATAAAGCTATTCGTCGCTTCTCTGAGTTGCTCGATTTTTAAGAAAAAAATGAAAACGTCACAAATTCTCCTTTTTTCGTTAGATTGTTTATACATTTTGTAAGTGGTTTGCTTATTCCACTTATCATCGGCGCTACACGACGAATTTGAAAATGATATTCGACTGAGCGTACACTAGTTGACATTCCTAAATATGTGAGCAGAATCGTCTGTGACAAGCACACATGATTATATCACTGCATGGAATTGTTCAGACTCAGCTGAGAGCTGATAAATTTGGAGCTAGTCAGCGTGTAAAGAATTGAAAAAGAAAACCTACAAATGTGAATGCATAGGAGGCTTGGAGAAAAAGCAAAGCTCAAAAGGAACAATACAATACATGTTTCACTTGAATTGATAAATATAACTGAAAACGAGCACTATCAAGCCATCGAATTCTGCGTAAAAATCACCTTTGCCCGACAAACCATCTGACATTTCTATCGATGTAAATAAAAAACCAGCTATATTTTAAGAAATATATCTGGTGCAATTTTATCCCATGATTCGCCTGTTTTCACAAATACAGAATGCGTAAGTTTCTTTTTTTAGTACGAATTTTTGGACCATATGATCCCTTTCAGGAATACACAAACGATTCCAGCAACAACTGTACAAATGTCTCTAACTAGAGTGTGATATCACGAAGTGTTGTAATGTCAGCCTGCTGAATGTTGCAGAACAAAAGCAAGGCACCGCTGAGTATTGTGATGGCATCTTACTGAATGCTGCAGAACTAGAGTTTGATACCACTGACATTCCATCGAATTCCCATTAAGCGTCTCCAGCGGTACACAGTGGGCAGAAATGCCATAGTATCCGGAATAATAAGAAAGAGCCAAGATATTCAATCAAGCTGGTGGTTCTGGGGGTTTTCAATCTTACTGAATGGATTGCTGATGGTTTGAGACTTCTTTGATCACAATAATATGTATTAAATCGCGAAAAAGCCAGGTATTTTCAACTTTTAAGCTGATTTTTGGACTATTGATAGGATTTATACGAGTAAAATGTTCAGGACAATGGCTATTGAAATTTCTAGAAGGTTCTAGAAGGATCTAGGACGACCTCATAGCTTCTAGAAGCGCCTAGAACAATCTCGTAGATTCCAGAAGCACCTGGAGGAATACTTTGAAATGGTCTGAAAGAATCTTGTGGAAGGTTCTAGAAGGATCTTGTAGGTAGCCGTTGGGTATAAATACGGTTGTGACTGCAGTATATCCCATGAAATTTTTGTTTGATGTTTGTATCTCAGTGTCAGTAATGTTTAAGCAAATTGTGACAAAAGCTGACTTGTGTCAGCTATATCTAGATTCTAATAAAGATCTGGCTACAGCAACTATCCGTTTATTGGAATTATTAAACTTAGAAAACGACGAGAAATCAATTGAAACAGCGGAAGAACTCTTTCGAATTCATGTTGTCCAACGAAAGTCAAGATTAAGAGATTGGCAACAACATCATCGATCAACTTCTTGGTATGCAGAAGAAGTACCTGTAGAATCACTTTTCCTTCAATTGGCGACAGATAATCAAAACGAAAATATTCCAACAGATGACGATGATGATAATGAGTTAGGGCCTACTCAATATCTTGGAAGCACGACAAAATTTTCAGAATTAACACTCGAGCAAAAACGATATCGGACGTAAAGTAAATAACCAATAAGTTGATTCATCGATAGATTATTGTTCGCAGCAGCGCTCTGAAGTGTTTCTGTGATATTCTTCATCCGATATCGTTTTTGCTATGCAACGTGTAGTGATTATTTCTATGCAATATGCAAGAATTTTTTCTTCCGTTAACCATCACTGAAAATGAACTAAAAATGGAACGATATAATCATACAAATCTTCGTCGACAACGTCAGGAACAACGTCAAAATTTCATAAAAGAAATTGCACGTATTGAACATTCATCAAATGAACATATTGCTATATATTAGACATATGATGAACAAGTGATAAATTTACATACGAAGTTACATGCGAATAGTCTAGAATACTTGAAATTGAAATCACAACAAATGAAAAACATTAATCGTACGAATGAATATGAACAATATATTCAAACATTGGATCAGAAATGGAAACAAGATGAACAAGAGTTACAGAAACCAATTGATGAAAAAGAATATTACATTCTTTAAAGAGTTTGGAGACATCATAGAATTACAGTCTTTTGGGTAGTGGTTGGTGTTTTTCTTTCGTTTTGGTGATGAATCGAACATGTCCACATTTTTCTTTCATTCGTTTATTTAAGCATTTTAACGTTCGGAAGAATTCATCTTCTTCATGAGAAAATTCTGCTAAATTTAAACATAAGATTGAGGTTTCACATCTCACATAGAGAACACTAACTATCGAAAACAACTAGAAAACAGATGAATCATTTGTGCAGAGAAAATGTACAAATACTACTGTACATAGAAGAATAGAAAGAGAAACAATAAAACGTATGCACTCATCAAGTGAAAATAAAGTAGTAAAGTTCAGCACCATCATTTTTACAGGAAGAAAAGAAAGAAAAATGATTCATTTCAACTTACTTCACCTTTTTTTAAAAAGAATAGAAGCACAACTAAGCAATAAATCGGTTGGCGTTTTCCAAGTAAGTTAAAAACATATTTATATAAGTAAATATCGAAAATAAGAAAAAAACGGCAGTGCACAGACATGTCTTCGTCACAAGTGAAGCTCATCACATTAATCTACTATAAAACTAAGTGTCTCAAGAAAATCGATAGTACTGCTGTTATATCGCACCGATATGATGATTTACAAACGTGTATTGATTATTTTAATGCATCGGACAAAAATGATATTCTATTTCTAATTGTATCAGGTTTAGATGCTCTTGACATCGTACCAAAAATCAATCATTTAAGACAGTTAGATTCGATATTTATTATAGCTGGTAAAGAAGATGGCTGTAAGACTCCGTCATCATTAGAACGGTATGCAAAAATCATTGATTATTTTGAAGAGAATGAGAATCTACTGACTAATTTAACTGAGTCGATCGAAGAGAATATTGATCTGTGCCGTAAACAAATTGAATCATTTAAATTTTACGATCAGCATCAGAAATCAACACGACAGCTTTCTGAAGAACACGGTTCTTTCCTATGGTTACAACTGTTTAAACAGGTCGTCCTACAACTACCTCATGACGATGAGGCAAAACAGGAGATGGTAGAGAAATTACGAGAGTACTATCATAATAATAATAAACAACTGAAACTAATTAGCAAATTTAATGAAACGTACAAACCGAGCGAAGCACTACGTTGGTATACAGGACAACCGTTTATCTATAAACAGATTAATCGTGCTCTACGTACAGAAGACATAGAATTACTTTATAAATTTCGGTATTTTATATCCGATGTTTGCCGTTACATTGAAAAAAAATACGTAGACGCGAAAGAATATGAACTCAAACTAAAACTCTATCGAGGTGTAAGAATGTCTAAGACAGAAATTAACAGATTACAACAAAATATTGGCAAACTGATATCAACAAATGGTTTCCTCTCAACTAGTATGGAGGAAGATGTTGCATTGGGGTTTGTTGGAATGGATGATAGTGAACAACAGCGATCAGTTTTATTTGAAATTGATTGTGATCTGCCTCTTATAAATCATGTACGTCTTGCTTCGTTACGTGAATTTAGTGATAATTATCAGGAAGAAGAAATTTTATTTGATTTGGATACAGTATTTGAAATTTTATCGATTGAAAGTAATGATAAAAATTTAATTCGTGTGCAAATGAAAGTCTCTGACGAGGGACGTAAAACAGCACAGACGTACATTGAGCACGTAAAGAAAGACATTTCGGGAGTGAGTACAGCACGAATTGTGTTCGGACGACTTTTAACTGACATGGGTCAGTATGATAAGTGTGAAACGTATTTTGAACATTTATTAAACAGTCATCAGCGGGAAGAGGATACGGCATTTCTTTACTATTATCTCGCTGCTGCAAAAGCTCAGAAAGGTTACTATGATCAAGCTTTACAAACTTATCAGATCTCTTATGATTTGTTGATGCAAGCTAATCCACCACGTCTCTGGCCATCGGCTAGTGTATTAAGCGATATAGGAGGAGTGTTCAGTAATAAAGGCCAGTATAAACAAGCAACTGAATATCATAATCGTGCAATAAACATTAGAGAACAGTTATCGGATTATCGTGGTCTAGCGACATCACTAGAAAATATGGCTATTATCTTCAAAAAGCAAGGCGACTATGATTGTTCACTAGCTAATCTAACGAAATGTTTGGAATTTAGAAAAAAACTTTATCCGGAAGAACACGAACAGATAGCAAATTGTCTAATGAGAACTGCCGGTGTATATAGAGATCGCAATGAGTTAAACTTGGCCTTAGATTATGAAAAGCAAGCATTGAAAATCAACGAACAGTGTCTACCTGGTGGACATCCTAGGATTGCCGAAAGTTTACACTATATTGGACAAACGTTGTACTTCCAAGGACGTTTTGATGAAGCACTAGATTATTATATGCGTTCATTAAATATGCGGGAGAGAGCTTTTGCTACGACTGGTGAACATCCGACTGTTGCTACAAGTCTGTCAAGTATTGGTATGATATATTATTCTAAAAATGAATTTACACTGGCTCTAGAGTACTATCGAAGAGCTATGAAAATCAGAGAGACATTTGGTCTAATGGACAGTGATCAAGCAGCCACTACACTGATGAAAATCGGAATGGCACTATGTAAACAGGAAAAGTATGAGGAAGCCTTGCCGTACTATAAACAGTCTTTAGAAGTTAAAGAAAAAGTATTTCCATTTGGACACTTTGAAATTGTTGACTGTCTGACGAATTTGGGTAATGCCTATCGGGATATGGGGAATTTTGATCAAGCATTCCAATACTTTCAACAGGCGAAGGAACATGTTGAGTTTGAAACTGTTCCGAAGAAAATGAATTTCATTCGTCTATCACGTCTCACAGATAATATGGGTATTGCAATTGGACGTTTGCACGGAGATAATGACGATGAACAGAGACTTCGAGGTCTGGAATATCGTCTAGAAGCTGTACGCCTGCTATCCAGAGTCTATCCACGTCTGGACTATGCACGATGGATGGAGACAATCGGTGATGTTTTCTGTGACTATAATCGATGGTCGAAAGCCATCGAATGTTACCGAACAGCGCTGAGAATGAAAGAAAAATGCACTCCATTCAATAGCAAGGAAGTTGTAACGAGTCGGAGAATGCTAGGCCGTCTCTTCTTACAGAAGCATGATGATAACGAGCACCGACAGTATCGAGATTACATCCTAGCTCGAATGCACTATGAGAAAGCATTGGTGGTAATTATGCGTGAGTCGTCGTCACATGAATCGAACTGTTATGCTACGGTGTTAAATGCAATAGGCAGTATCTATGAAAAAACGTCCAAGTATTCGCTAGCATTGCAACATTATGAAAAAGCATTTGTTATCTTATCTGCTATCGCAGTGAATTATGTTTCCTCGGAAGATGGTAACGATGACGACGAGGTAGATCAAGAAACCGTTGAAATGAATGTTGCTAGAATGGAATGGTTGACCAACTATTGTCGGTAAAAAAAAAGAATGGACTCGGATGTTTTTTGAATAACGTTTGACAGAAAAGTGGTAGATGCTTGCGGTCTTCACTAATCGAAAGCTAGGACCTAAATGCAGCTTTTCACAATGAAAGTCATTTTCAAGATCTTTTCCTGAAGCAGGTTTTTCAGGAGATCTTTGGAAAACCAGGTCATTGCTCAAAAACTTGAAATACAAATGGTTTGATTTTTTTCATGGATAGATAGGACAAAGTGTTCTCTTCAAAATGAGAGTCAAGCGAGACTCTCATCTTCGATCGCTTAGGCCTGGCATTCAATTTCCTAGGAGTCTCAAAACTGGGCTTTTCTCACACGTGAGAGCCTCACAAATGACTTTAGACAGGGGTTATCGACCACGCTGAGTCTCGTGACAGTCTCTGTTTAATGACTTAAAAACATTTTTACATATGAACTAGCGGAACCTGTACTCAACCTAAGCTGTTCTAACTACTGTACTACCGTATAACTACTTCACTTTATTTCAAATCAGTATAATGTTACATAAACATGAATGAAACGAAACTGTTATCCATCTGTGTCATA